AACTTTACAAGGGAGCCATACCCATTCTTTGGGATGATTTCACTGAGGTGGGTGGTGGTCTGACAAACTTGGCATTTATGTTAGAATGGAATTGTGAAGGAGAAAAAGAGTGTTTAGGAGCTTTCCAGAAATGTTTTTTTAGTTTTAAACACAAATAATTATTATAGAGCAAGAGAACCTCAATTTAGAGAACAACATAAAACAATGACAAAAGTCGCCTTAGGCTTCAGGTACACAAAGTGATTTTTTTTTAAAAATGCCTTTGGCGCTCCTGTCTATGTTTTCTCCGTTGATAATTCTTTTTTTTTTTTTTGAGTCAGGGTCTAACTCAGTCCCCCAGACTGAAGTGCAATGTCCATTGGTAATTCTATAAATTTCTTGGTTTGAACTATCACATTAAAAAAAATTTCCAAAATTATGCCTTCAGATGTTACCACTTAAATGCCCAACTCTTATTTTTTAAATATTTTTATCTCTTTTAAAGACAGAATCTTGCTCTGTCCCCCAGGCTGGAGTGTAGTGGCTCAATAATAGCTCACTGCAGCCTCAAACTCAAGTGATCCTCCTGCCTCAGCCTCCTGAGTAGCTGGGACTACAGGTGCAACAACCATGTCCAGCTAATTTTTTTATTTTTTGTGGAGCTGGAGTCTTGCTATGTTGCCCAGGCTGGTCTTGAACTCCTAGACTCAAGTGATCCTGCCACCTCAGCCTCCCAAAGTGCTGGGATTATAGGCGTGAGTCACCACACCCAATCCCAACTCTTATTTTCAACTATACCCTAGACACTTTCTCCAGGATCTTCCAGGCTGCTCAAGTACAAACTTCACAGAGAAGTCATCTTTGTCCCCACAATGGTGAACAGTTTCCACATTCCCAATTACCATTTTTTCTATTGTCATCATCATCCTATGAGATAGACTCAGAAATCATGGTGCCAACTCTTCCTTTCAGGTCTCACTGCCAAATTCTGTTGTAACTGCCATGTCGGCCCCATCTCTGTTTCTTCTCCTGCTAACATCAGTTGAAATGCTCTTGGAGCCTTAGGCATTCCCAATAGGTTTCCTTTTATAATCCTTTGTTCTAACTCTTCTTTCTGGAAACTCCTTTCACTATTCTATGATCATATCTTATGTCAACAACTTACTGCCAGTTTCGTGTCATCTTCCTGATCCATTCAGCTGAAAGTATTTTCTTCCTACCCTGAACTCCTGAAGATCTTATTCTATACAGTTCCTGTGGAACATACTTGTTACCTATTAAGACAGTATGTTTTGAGCATATTCTATGTATCAGGCACATACCCAGAAACTTTGTATGCATTTTCACTTAATCCTTTGAGCAGCCCTACAAGACCTAGAAAATTGTTAATAATGTATATGAATATTGATGCCATGTCCCACCAACCTAAGACCCAGATTTCATGTCTCTTGGGTACAGCCTGGGCATGGGGACTGTTTAAGGCTTCCTGAGTGATTCCATTGTGTAACCTATTTGCCATATACTCTTGAGTAGTTAATATCACCTCTAGCTTTAAAACACAAACAAATGCTAGGCCTCATCCCAGGCCTACCAAATTAGAATCTCTGGGGGCTAGAGTCTGAAAATCCATATGTTAACAAAGCTTAACAGGTGACTCTGTCACAGAACCAGGATTGAGAACCACTTTCTTGGTCAGACACTGCAACATCTCCCTCTTATGACCATATTATGAATAATTACAGATGTCTTCCCCCCACCTTAGAGTTTGTAAACTCTTTGAAGACAGGTTTACATTTCATTCACTTTGGTCTCCTTCCTGGTACCTAGAAAGACACATGATGTGTCTTAGAAACTATAGAATCAATAAAATACCTTTTGCTAACCTTATTAAGAAAACAAAAAACATCTTGGCAGGATACTTATTTTCTTTGTACTAGTTTTTAATATTTGATATACTGAACTTGACACTAAGCAAGTCATCTCAATTATCTGAGCATCATTGTTACATGCTATGAAGTGCCAGAGCTAGGATTTGAACCTAGGTCCTCTTGACAATGCTCTTTTCCTCTACATCTCAGGCTGTAAAACAACTACAAAATGAACAAAGCAGCTATCTACGTGTTTGGATACATGCTGTCAGACATGTTTCTAAAATGTGAACATAACCTGTCACACGGAGAAAAAAAGTTCTGTTGGCATTATAGAATGAATTTGGAAAAATACATTACTTTTAACCTAAAAGTTAATTGTGGGTTCTAACAGATACTCCTTTCTTCTCTTCAGTTCCGCTGTCCCTGAAACCCAGACAGACAGACAGACAGACAAACACACCCTCTGATTGTTTTTTGACATTTCTTGATAATTGTTTAGTTGCTGCATTGGTAATTTTCTTAGGTTTTGTTTGTTTGTTTGTTTTGCTTTTTAGTTTGTGCAATCTCTCAAAGACTTTTCAAATAACCTGAGCTTCTGGCTGTAAATGAAGTATTTTTTAAAGGTCTATATATGCTTTACTTTAGGAGATAAATTGGCATCTAATGTTTCTAATAATTCTAATGTTTCATTCAGCATTCACATAATATACACATAAAATGCATATAGGCATAACAACGTTGAAATTATATTCAAACAAGACCCGGAAACCTGAGTTTACCATTTCTAAGGTAGGTGACTTTGGACAGAGAATGAACTTTCTGGAGCCTCTTTCCTCACCTAAAAAATGACAGGGAGGGGGGCTAAGATATACCCTCCCAAACATGAAATGTTATGATTCTTTTAAATAATAAGTCATTTGTTTGTCTTTTGGTCAACACCAAATTAATATTTAGGCTTTACCCTTATTGGTTGATACTCTTAAAGACAAACAGAGCCATGACAATAAAATCTGTAGAATTCTTTACAGCTGTTAGTCATTATTACCCCCATTTCACAGAAAGGGAAATTGAGACACAGAGAAGCTGAATATCTTACCCAAGGTAACAGACTCAGAAATTGCAAGTCTAAACCCCTATTGGACCCAATTTTGACCCCCTTCACTACCACAATGACCATGGGCAAAGCTGGAGATCATAAGCTGTGTAAATCTGACATGCCGAAGGCTCCCCCAGTAGCCTGTCTGCCTTCCCAAAATGTTTTCCAGCCCAGATGCCTTTAAATTGCTTTGGAATAGAATACCAAGAGGGGATTTATTTAGCATATCATTTCTGGATGTGTGTTTTCCTGAGCATTTATAGATCTGTGTTTTTCCAAGAAGCTGAGTGTTCCTGATAAAACAAGACAGATAATGATAAATGAGCATCTATGTAAGCCTAGCTGGGAGGAGGACCAGGGACTGTTAACACCCCTCCTGTGAAGTTAATCCCATTTCTTTTAGCTATTTCTTTATTAGTTAATGAGGTCTTGCAAAAATGTGTGTCTGTGATGGTGTTTTAGCATCCTTGCCTCTAGGAACATTTTCAAATATTCATAAAGTAGCTCATCTGACCAAAGCTTAAAGCAAAGGTGCATTAAGTATGAATTTAGTCAACTTCAAATGTGGGTGGTCGAAAGCTACTGCTGAAATAACCTAAATAATCCTCCTCACTGGTGTTTCCAGATCCACAGCTCTGGGCACCAATGTGAAGGGTGACAGGGAAGAGGTATTATTTAGAATAGCTAGCACTCAGAAGGGCAGCCCTGGAAGCTTTGATCCTGCTTCCTGACTGACAGGAGTGTGACTTGCTCTTGGAAAACTGAATAACTTAAGAGAAACAAAAATAAAGTAGAAAAAGGAATTGCCAGTCGAGCCTTTGGGAAGGAGAGCAGACGCTAGATCATATTGTTCCTGGGAGGCAAGAGACCCATTTCCCACTTCGGTTCCTGATGGCAAAGGGGGAAAGTAGAATCTCGAGAGATAGTTTGGCACTCAGCGATGCATTTGGAGAGCAGAGCAAATGCGGAAACTCAGCTAGCTACTAAACTGAGCTCCACGGTATAGTGAATCACAGCAATTACCTCCATGACCTGTTTTAGAGGATTCCCAACATTGTCGCAGGGTCCTCGGAGCATAGAGTTCACACACAAACACACACACACACACACACACACACACACACACACACACACACACACACACATCACTTTCTCATCCAACAGCATAACTACATAAATTCTTCATATTTTTCACCCTTTTATGACTTTGTTTCCCAAAAACATCAGTTAAGAAAATTGACACTATGGCTTTTCTTCTATGTGCAGTTTCTAAGCAAAGGTTTGGTTCTGGGTGGCCTAGACTACATATAGTATAATTAGGCTAAGAAACTGAAAATTACAGCCCATTATTCTCCCTCCTGCTCCTGGGAAAGTACCTCTGAGCTGCCACCAAAATGGTGCAGGGCTTCCTGACCCTACTTTTTAGTATGAGCTCAAGGAACAAATCACAGGCCAAAGTCCTCTGACCCCCAACCCCATAGGGCAGTGCCATAAATCACAGAACCACTGAGAACTCAGTGCTGCCTAACATGAAATATCTATCCTTGAAAGATCCCATTCATGTCATCGCTACTGAGTCTTTAATTCATTGAAGTCTTTGGCCTTTTTTAATAACAACCCCCGAATGAAGGAAAGCTGTGAACCACATGTGTGAAAGGAAGGAGCCATATAATCCCACTCAAGTACCAAGGTGGAGAACACAGACATCTTCCATTAACAAGGGCTATATAGCAAATGTCTCCCTTTGCAGGTCAGCACTCAACTATTTGGTCATTTTATCTGGTTATGAATTTTCCCTGAATATAAAAGATAAGTCCATTACAAACAGCAACAGCACCATAAGAACGCTGCCTTGAGAAATGCTGGGTATAATATCATTATTTTTTTGTCTCTTGCCATGAGGACACTGAGGCCGTGCTGACAGTCATTACGATTACAGAAGATGCAAGCTACTGTCGGTTGTTTCAGATGCAATTTTGCATCTCTCAAAAGAAATGCTCTTATTTCTGGGGAGTAAATTTGACCGGTGTCCTGTATTGAATTTTCTTTTACAGGTGATTCACATAACAGGCCGGCTACGCCTGAGAGTGTCGCTGTCCCATGGGAGGACCGTGCCCAGCCAAATCATGGGTCTCGTGGTTGTTGCTCATGCCTTGCCTCCCCCTACGATCAATGAAGTTAGAATTGACTGTCATATGTTCGTCACTCGAGTAAATATGGACCTCAATATCATTTACTGTGAAAATAGGTACTTGGTTTTTTTTGTTTTCATCTGCCCTGTTGCATGCAACACATTGGTGAGGGTTTGTGTTTTCTGCAGTCTGAAAGATGTTCTCTCCCAATGAGGCTCATTATAAATCCTGATCTTGTTTTTAATGGCTACTTGGACGGACACCAAGCATGCTTTTTATTTAAAATTTACATTGCTGCCCCTGATTTACCTCAGGGACAACAATTAAATGAATGGGGATATCCAGACATCCATATGCTATAAAGAAGGCCCGTTTTGGCTGAGAACCCAAGGAGAGAGCAGGACTGAGATGCTATTGGCACAATGATGCAGGAAAATGTATGGCCGATCCTCGGCGGGTCCCACTTCTGACTAATTCAAGGGCCCAGCCTCACGATGGTCAATGTTCACACAGACGTTAAGAACAGAAAGAGCAAATGAGAGTTTGAAGCCCCCAGAGGAAAGAGGATGAAAAAGAAATTTGCAAAGCCATTAAATAAAACTTTGTCATCCTGAGGATTTCACTTTTATAAATTAAGAAAAAGATGACTCATCATATAAATGAATTGGCAGTTCTTCCTCAAGACTGAGCTTTTAGAAAAGGACTTTTTAGCCTCTGGTCAAAAAGTTCACTTTTTCCATTAAGCACAAAGCAAGGGACAGGGAAATAGGACAGTGCCCCTTCAGACCTTTCACCTAAAAGTCACCCACCCATCACTGCACTGATTTGAAGAGGGAATCATGGGGTGCTGGGAGAGCAGTAGAGAGAAACCATCCACACATCAACCGTGGGAAGGAAACTTTGGCGACACCATGCATTCCCAGTACACAGGGAGAATTACTGCATCAATTTTGGAAGGATGCTTTTGTGGCACAGTTGTCAGGCTGTTCACTGAGCCCTGTGAGTGCCTTCGGAGGAGAAATAAAAAAGCAGAATGGTCAAGTGGCTTGGAGAATTGACCTCCCCAGAGTCTAACTAAGAAGAAGACAGACAACCCCTGCATTGAGTCCACTGGGAAGCACTGAAGATGCTGAGATCAAGTTGGAAGCTGCCTATCACTTCTGACCAGGATCTAAATCAGAGGAAAGAATTCACCAGTGAGAAAAGATACTCACCTGAGCTATGAGTATTTAATAGGGTAGAAGATATCATGAACTGTCACTATTATTTGACAAGGAACTCTAAATCTGAGTTTCACGTTTCTTTGGCATTGATCAATATTAAAATGCTTATCCTCATGACTATATACTGGGGTTTGTCTACGGTTTTGCGGAAGGGCTGCAGAACCTCAGCAAAGATGAGGTAGTTAGAATGATTAGCTGGAGCTGGCAAGTAAAAATAAAGATGGCTGGCGTTTACTGACTACTTACTACACACTGGGCCATGGACAAAGCTCATCATCTGTATATTCTCATTAAGCCTCATGACAGTTCTGTGAGGTAGGTGCTGCCACTGTCTCCATCACCTTCAGGCAATTTCAGCTTAGAAAGAAAAGTTGAATGTCTTGTCCTCAGTCAAGATTCAAACCCAAGGCTGCCAGATGCAAAAGCCCATGTATTTAGCTACGCCTTGTGGGGGTCTCCCTGGAATCTCTTACTTCTCTTCAGAAGTCAGACTAAATGGCAAGCAGCCAGTCAGAATAACCTCTGAAGGGGGTTTTTCATACATGTGCACCCAGAAAAGAACACAACTGCAGCCCCCAAGGCTGTTTATTCTCTGATTTAAAAATGTAGACTCCCGGGGAAAGAGATCAAACCAAGGGAGGCAGATATAAAGTCGGAGGATGGATGATGACTTTGCTTCTTTGAAAACACGTCAGGCAGCTGGATGTAATCCTACCACCACCACTCCCTCCAAAGAACGGGCCTCATCTTATTTACCAAACTCCCAATGATTGTCGTATCCCAAAACATCACTTACTTTTCATTCCTATGATCAATTCATTAATTCTTTTGACAAGCTCTATGGACCTGAGTACCTCATAGTGCCACTCTAGTAATTGAGATCATTTTCTCCGACCTGCTTTTAGTATTTTTCTCCCCATTAGAAAAAAAAAAAAAAAAAAACTTTCCAAAACCCTCTATTAGTGAAGGCAATACAGCATTATTTCCCACCTGAAGATGATAGTAATTATTAAAAACCTTATAGTAAAGGTAATTGCATATTTGATCTGAAGAAAAAGCATACCATGTGCCGGCACCATGCTAAATTTCATTCCATTCATTAGTTCCCTCACCAATCTCTTGGGTTGCTTTGCAGATGAGGAAATTGAGGCTCAGCGTAAAAGACGCCATTAGAATTCTGATCCTGATACAGGTCACTCAACTGGTCTGGTACTTTCTACACATATACTGAGAGACCTTTGAACATGGGGTTAGTCATGTTCACCACAGTAATAGGCTCTAGTACAGAAAAGGGTTTTAATCACTTTGAAGGATTTAATTCAAATAAAAAGTAAACTAAAGAAATTTCTTCCCTAAAGAATGGAGTGGCTTTTTCCTGGGGTTTATTATTTAATTAGGGAATTGTTAACTAGAAACTAAAGCTTGCTCCTTGACTCTGTAGACCATTCTTGTCTGCATTCCCAAGGACGGCCTCGGGCAAAGCCAACATCTAATGCTTTCAGAGGAGCTGGCAAATTTCAGAAACACCAGTGAGAGTCTTTTAATGACATCCTTGTTCCTTCATTTGCAGAAAGGGGGTGTAAACTGTGCTTGGAAAACAGCTAATAGTTTTAGGAAAACACCAACTAATCGGTTTTGTACCAGAAAAAGCATGGATACCTTAGAAAACCCTCCTTTTTGTTTCCCCGATTTGTTTTATCTTACCAAGAATTCTAGTTTGGCCAAAAAATATTATTTAAATTGCTAGACATTGAGAAAGTCACTCTCTGGGTAGCATATTTTAATTATGTTTTATATTTTATTTTTCTCTATTTCCCTGCCTTGAGGGCCAAACTTAACTCCCCTCAATGATCACATGTGTTTCTTAAACATGCCATTTCTAAAGATTCACTTCATATCTGAATAGACCATATGTCATAAATCATAAAAAAAAAAAAAACACAGGAACAGTAAGAAGAATAAATTAAACAAAAAATATATTCTGTTTTGGACTGCCCAAAAGGAAGCTGCACTTGGTAATAGAGAGGGTGATAAGCATTTCGACATGTTTGTGTAAACCAGGCAGATTCTCCCAACATGTTTTCCAATTTGGGTTCTATTTTTCTGTGCTCTGCCTGAGGACATGGACGTCTGGACAATCAATGACAGAGGCTTACACACACGTACTGTCGAGCACAAGCCTGGAAGAGCTGCTGAAATGGTTTAAAAGTTTCTGTGTGGAATTCACCACAAAGTACCAGTTAAAAGGGCCAGGAGTGAAAGCTGAGCTCCCAAATGACTAAGACTAAAAAAGATAATACCCCCAGGCATCTGTATGTCTCAGCATTTAAATTATATCCCTTGAAATGCCAATTTGGACTTTGTGCCAAGAAGCTGTTGAAGCCCTTTTTCATGGAAATACCCAATAGAAGACCAATCTGTTTAAATGAAAGGTGTCTCTAATCATTTGGTATAAACATAACATGTTTTTATTTTATTATGTAACCTTGAATTATCTTGGCCTCTAATGAGGATCTTGCATTGTTACTGAATCTCAATAATTTCATGGAATTATGTTGTCTAAATGTGCATTCTAATGCCAAAGAAAGAGGAAAAACCTGTCTAATTATGTAAACACATTTGCTCGATCTAGGACATTTCCTACTTTTGAGAAACACTGTCATATGTTAGAGAGATCATCTCATCTACAAAGGGTTTTCCCTCACAGTGCCACCTCCTCACAGGTGCTGTGTATAAGCAAAATATGTCAGTAGATCTGTTTCTAAGTTATCTGACAGTTTCTTGACATGTATCCTTTCTGAATTCCAGCCCATGTTCTTCTTTTTGTAGGATTAGTGATTATATGGATCTGACCCCTGTAGACATCGTAGGGAAGAGATGCTACCACTTCATCCATGCCGAAGACGTCGAGGGCATCAGGCACAGTCACTTGGACTGTAAGTACCCCTTGTGTGTGAGAATAACCCAGGCCAGTCCCATCTCTTTCTGAGGCTTGTTTGGTTTCGGTGCTGATTTTTTCCTTCATCTCTCCTGTGTACATTTGAGATGACTGTCAGTGTGTAGTGAGACAAAGGGAGACATAAATCACTGCAACTTGTGTTGGAATTAGATTGAAAGTTGAACCTCGGGCCCAGAGAAATTGCTGGATCTTTAGGCACTCACCTAGAATTTTATGGTGTCTTGTGCTGTCTTTCCCCAGAAGTGGGAGAAGCTTTGTCTCAAGCGCTGTCTTGACCCTTTCATTTCCTAGAGAGCAACTTCCACTCTGAAATTTGTGGCCTCAGTTTCAAAATATATATGGGAGAAGTCAAGTTCAAATAGGCCAGAGCTTCATAACAATGCCTACTTGGCTAGCCACAAAACTGGGGTGGGGGACATCCAGGGGACGGGGCAGAGCACATTCCATGGACACCTCTCAAAGGAGTGTCTTTTCATTGTGCTTCTGGAAAGAGGGTTATTCTGAGGAGTAGGTACCTCCATCCTCCAACTCACAGGAGAGAGACACTAATCTCAGCTCTTTGAGTATAGCTTCCAGCCCCTGACCCACAGGCTGAACACCAAAGAACCTTCTGTGGCATGTAAGCAAAGCAGGACGAGCAGTGTCCTGTCTGGGTCTAGCAACCCTCACACACCAGTGGCGTCATGCTGTGTCCCATCGAACTCCCCTGGCTATTTACACTGTGTGAGGAAGGGTCTGACAAGAGCACTGATCTGATGGACCACTTAAGAAAGGGGTACCTTCTTCTGACCAGAAGTCCTTTTTATAACCACTCCGTAGACTCTTCCTGAAAGAGGAGGGCCCCACCAGTTCTAAATCTAGTGCTGACTGCTGATTTTAAATAGTCATGTTCTGTTTAACAATGTTTTGTTCTACAATGGACTGCATATATGATTATAGTACCGTTTTTTTTTTTACTGTACCTTTTCTATGTTCAGACATATTTAGATACACAAATATTTATCATTGTGTTCCAATTGCCTACAGTATTCAGTACAGTAAAATGCTGTACAGGTATGTAGCCTAGGAGTACGAGGCTACACCATATAGTTTAGGAGGTGGTAGGCTAGACCATCTAGGTATGTGTAAGTACACTCTATGATGTCCACACAATGATGAAATCACCAGCAACACTTTTCTCAGAACACGTGTGCATCATTAAGTGATGTATGACTATACATACAAGGTGCCACAAATGATGATTGGTAGAGCTTAAAGTTGAAGCTTTTATGTCAAAAAAAACAGGCCTTTGTATTTACCTTCTTTCTCCTTTCTTGTACTGGTCAAGGAGAACTATTTCAGACCTTTTCTGCCCTTTGCAAGGGTTTCCTCATTTCAAACTCGTCTCCAAAAGCATAATGGAGACCGTGAGCTAGCCAAGGTCTCATTGTATAAGCGTCTTGTACCGTGTTTTTAACCCTGCATTAGCAACACTGACATGGAAACAAGTTCAATGTCAAATTCTGTATCTACCATGTCTCTGGGAAGAGCCTGTGAGCAAGGCTGCTCTCCAGCAGATACTACTCCCAAAATTGAGCGTGTGTCTTGATATAACACACCAGGGACTTAGGGAACACACTTGTTGCTAAGAATGAATGGATGTCGTGTATCGCAGAAGCAGATGGCTCTTCAGTTAACTGGGGAAAAAAATGATGCTGTTTCCTGAAAAGAAACATCAGGTTCTTTGTTGCTGGAAATTCAGAGAAAATGGAGAAAAACCAGGATCTTTGGAAGAAGCCATGAATGTATTTTTGGAACAATATAGGCTAGAGATCCAGACTTTAAATATGAATATATTGTTTTTAGGACACTGTCATAGACCATGTGTGTGGGGAGAGGGGAGGTGCCTTCTCGTTTTGGAATCTTAACTAAGGCCTAAATTCAGAAACCTGATGCTGACAAAAAAAGAAGTTTGTCTTCCTCAGTTATTATTTGGAAAACGTCATGCTATCTCTCTGGGATTTGATTTATAGCTTGAAGAAACACAATTCCTCAGGAACAGTGAGTGAAGGCAGCTCATTTCTCCCCATAAAGTAAAGGTCTCCAACGAATATGTTTGATGCCATTCTTTCCGATCTAGTTTTATCTCATTTTCAGTAGCCAGAATAATTTGAGAGTGCTGAAAATAAACTACTCCACCATTTGCTATTGTACTGTTCTCCTAACTTTTCTGGTATCTTGCCAGCTAACAAACAGAGAAGGTATGCTTTCAAATTCTGTGATTTTTTTCATTACTTGATATTGACATACTGGCTATTGCTTTATGATTTAGCCTACTAACAATGATTGAGTTCACTCTTTTAGCTCATACACATGACTTCTAATTTTGAGTTCTTTTAATAACCTTAAACACATGAAAAACAAATAGAATGAGCTGATAATTCTGCATAGTAAAATACACTTCACATATTTAGCTATCATGCTGTGGAATAACTCCACAATGTCAAGTAGCACACAATTAGTAAAACTGTAGGGGGAGGAAAAAGAGTGTTTTGATCCTGAAGAAGTTTGATCCTAATCAGATTGAAATTTCAGCGTTCTTGTAGTGCTTAATATCTTCAATCACACACACACACACAAAATCAAACTAATTCCAATGTGTCAGGTTTTGCATTCTGTGACTGAAATAAAATGCTAAAATATACAAATGCATCTTGCTTTGTACAATAAACATTAACATCATTATAAAGTAAGATTGAGTCTGAAATTGTGTGATGGAATGTCTGATGTTTACCTAATTCTCAAACCAAAGCCAGCCCAGTAACAAAATGACAGAGCATGTAATAAGTCTTGGTTGTGTAAACACTGGAAGAAAAGGCAAAAAGCCAGCACAGCATCTTGCTCGTCCAAAGCCCTAGGCTATTACTGAAGGATGCCTCAACTGTGCCTTCCTGGCAGGAGAAGGTCATGGTAACATAGAATCAGTTCAAGAATAAGATAGAATTCTAAAACAAAGGGATGGTTAAAAAATAAACCCTATTAACTATTTAGGTTTTCTTCCTAGAGCTATTGGCACAATTCCTGGTTCTGTCCATGAAAGATAGGATCTAGTCCTCTGATAATATTTCTGATATTTTTATGTCTGTCATGCATTCTAGTTTATGGATAAAACTTAGGAAAAAAGACTTAATCATTTTTGATAACTAAAAGTACTATCTTTATCACTTGTATCTTTTTTCCTAGCCTAGGCATCTATGAATCCATAAATGAACTTGTCTCTAGGATAAGAAAAGCAAAGGGGAATCAGAGCTGTGCCAGAATTTGATAACTGAGAAACTGAACCAAGAACTTTGGACCACATACTTCCCACTAGGTTAACACTAGATGCCTGGTAGTTCACTGCATTTCAACAATAAAAGTCTCTAAAAATCACATGATCAATACCAACATGGTAGGTTCGTGACATTACGTGAGGATTCTAAAAGCAAAGGAGTTTTAGGGTTCTTTCTTTCAGATTGTGACCAAAGACCTCTGCTATTTCTTTAAACCAAATTTCATTGATTCTTCAGGGTAAATTGACCAAATCAACATTGCAAGGTTTGGGTTTTAAGCCATTCATATTAGTAACTATTTGGCATCTTTACCTCTTCCTCTCTCCAGTTCTCCACTGCTCAGGAGGTTCTGACTGGGAGAAGATCAGTTGTGTCTTCCCATGGTCCCGCACTCCAGTTACCAAGACCATCTATGTGGCTTTCGAATTATGGGAGAGGTTTCATTGTAACCATCCCCCACGCCACCTCTGCCTGTAACCCAAAAAATAGAATTCTAAACCAAACAGAGATGTGTTCTTTGCTTCTCTCTTCATCCCCATTTAATCCAGCCTTTTGTCTATAGAAGAAACTGAATTTGTCTTGAGACATCCCTAGGGTTCTTCCTGGGTCAAATCAGCAACAACTCTAAAACCTTAAAGAGTGGCCTAGAGGGAAACTTCCTTTCTCTGTTTTGATGCTATGCTCCACCAGCAAGGCTCAAGGCTCTGGACCTGGGGGATGCCAGAGAAAAGGAGCCAGGAAGTATAGGTGTGGCGGCAGGTTTTTCTTTCTTTCTTTCTTTCTAGCTCTTTACCCAGTCTGAGAAAACTCTGCAAGAGTTATTTCAGAAAGAGAGAAGGACTTCACATGGTCTTTGATACCATGTGGAGCTAAAAAGCCTGGGCCACCCCATATCCTTGAGAGGCATGGATGCTAAAATAATACAGTAGCCTAAGTGTTTATTTCTTAATTACAAACTTCCATACATCCTAACAAAACGAATATACAACTACCTGGTATAATGCATTCCATGCTGTTTTGCATCAATAACCCCTACACTTGCCTCCTGAAGGCGTCTCATCACCAAATGCAAGCAGACTGCTTAATGCAGGACTAATTAGTATATCCCCTTCCAGTCTGTGGGCCCTCCATTGTAATTCCTTCCCAGCTCATTTTTTTCCACAACCAAGCATCAATCAAAGTAAGTGCCCTGCCTGCCTAGGCAACACAAGATGTCCTCCATGCATTTGTCATCTGCCACGCAAACAAAAGGGGAATTTAATTGTCGATTTGGGTTTGCAGCCATTGCTGCACAGTCAGGAAGCTGAAAGTGAAGGAAGAAGGGAAGGTGTAAAGTTTGATGGGTGAGTCCTACGCAGACAGCACAGGGGACTTTATTTCTGTTTTCTGATCTCAGCCTTTCTTCAGGGCTGGGTATTCAGGGACTTAGCTGCAACCTGGTCCTTGGCTTGACTTTTTCCCAAAGCAAAGGAGTTTTTCACTTCTTCCCTATGAGTATGAAAATACCTGTGAGTGGAAATGCATGTAATAGTTACCATGTCTGACTTTCTTCAGAAGCTCAGTCAGCCTACGTCACCTGCCTGTCCATTCACTGAAAGGACTGTCACATGGAGACAAGATAAAGCCAGGTTTTTATGCAAGAGTGAATTAGTATTATTTTGTCTTC